AGGGGTGCTCTGTACTTGTAAACGTTGCTAATGTTGATGTTAGCTGTCTCAAACGTTACTGTGGCAGGGAGACCACGACGCATTGAACACTGCATTTCTACAGATTCATGCCACGTTTTATTTCTTGTACAAAATATCTTTACTATAGGTGTTGCATTTCATTACCTTTTCCGTGAAGCTATGCCAGTCTTTTGTGTGGTTTCTGCAGTCAGCCATGGTCCAGGATGTAAACGGAAGCATCTCTTCATGTGCTTTGTTGATGTGCTGCATAACAAATGACATGCTGTTAGATCCACGTAGCAGGTCCTGGCAGATAAATGAGGCTTTTGTGGCCTGTATAACGCTCAGTGTGGTTCACTCGAAAGCATGGCTGAAATATACAACATTTAGGAACTGAAATGCAGAATTGAAATGCATGTGTTTTAATAAATCCATGGTTCTTGGAAATTTGGAAGCGGTTCGTGATACCCAATCCTACTCAGGATGTCTGGACACACAATGAACTCAACCCACTAATTAATGATGCCACATACCTGTGTTGAGTGAAAGCAGCACATACTTTTATGGACCTGTCAGGCCACTAGAGGAGGCTGTGGTAAGAGACATTCAAGCCATTACCACTAGAAGCAGAACAAAACATGTCCCTACATCAAAAACACCAAAGAAAAATCTATAAAAAGAACAGTTTGCAGTACAGCAAAAACAAAATACATCTTTCAAACCAATGCCATAAAAAGGGAAACATCAAGTTCTTCGTTTAGGTCTGGATAATTTCTAGCTCTAATGCTGCAGATCAAGTATGCCTCATTTTCTTTTGTGGACACTTGGGGTAAAAGCTGTCCTAATACAGTATTGCATTTCAATCTATAATTTTACTCAAAATAGAAGTATGGTAATTGGTCTTATTCTTGTATAGCACTTTTCTATGCTTTACAGCACATTCAAAGTGCTTTCACACTACTTGGCCATTGACCCGTTCGCACTCTCAAAGGCTCACACATTCACACACCGGTGTTATCACCAGGGGCAACTGGGGGTTCAGTGTCTTGCTTAAGGACACTTCAACATGTTGACTGGACAAGCCGGGAATTGAACCGCTAATCCTCCGGTTAGGAAACAACCCGCTCTACCTCCTAAACCACAGCCGCCTCCAAGTATGTTACTCCCCCCATGATTACCTTCTTTCCCCTAGCCTCTGACCCCTGAAGATCTGTGAAAAGGATGTGTGTGGCTTTCTTTAAAAAAAAAAAAAGGGAAAGAAAAGAAAAAATCAGAAAAGCTCTGGGCCCAGACAGTGTTACCCCCTCTTGCCTGAAAGCTTGTGATCAGCTGGCCCCCATCCTCACACATATCTTGACAAGATCATTGGAGCTGTGTGAAGTCCACACTGTTTCAAACACAACACCATCATCCCAGTTCCCAAGAAACCCTTCATCAGCGGACTGAGTGACTACAGACCCATTATCCTGAAATCTGTCATCATGAAGTCCTTTGAGAGACTGGTGTTGGCCCACCTGAAGGACATCCTGGACCCCTGCAGTTTGCCTACTGGGCAAACAGGTCAGTGGATGATGCAGTCAATATGGCATTGCATTGCATCCTGCAGTACCTCGATTCCCCAGGGACCTACACACGAGCCCTCTTTGTTTACTTAAGCGTTCAACACCATCATCCCGGACATCCTCCACTCCAAACTGACCCAGCTCACTGTGCCTGCCCCCACCTGTCAATGGATCACCAGCTTTCTGATAGGTAGGGTGGGTGTGTTTCCCCCCCGCCCCCCCGGCCTCCTCCCTGTCTGTCAGAAAGCTGTTAGCAGCAGGTAGCAGCAGGTGCGGCTGAGGAGAATCACATCCAGCACCTGGACATTCAGCACAGGTGGCCCTCAGGGATGTGTGCTCTCCCTGCTGTTGTTCTACAAGGACCTAACCTCAGGGAACCCATTTGTTAAGCCCCTTGAAGTTCGCCGATGACACAATGGTCATTTGTCTTGGCCGAGATGGTGACAACTTGGCCTACAGGTGGGAGGCTGAGCAGGTTGCCCTGTGGTATGGTTGCAACAACCTGGAGATGAACACACTCAAAACAGTGGAGATGACAGTGGACTTTAGGAAGAGAACCCTCTCACTATACTTTACAGTACTGTGTCAGCACTACTTGAAGTTCCTGAGTTCCACAATCCCCTAGGATTTGGATTGATTATCCAGCATCAGCACCATCAAGAAGGCACCAGCTCAGGAAGTTCAACCTGCCCCAGGAGCTGCTGATATAGTTCTACAGAGGAATCATCGAGTCTGTTCTCTGCTTATCCATCAGTGTCTGGTTTGGTGACTCCAGCGGACAGTCAGGACTGCATAAAGAATCATCAGTGCCAGCCTGCCCTCCATGGAGGACCTGTATACCTCACTGGTCAAAAGGAGGCCAGAGAAGATTTCTGCAGCCCCTCACACCCTGGACACAAACATTTTGAACTCTTCCCCTCTGGACGGCACTACAGGTCAATCTACACCAAGACGATCAGACACAAGGAGTTTGTTGCCCCAGGCCATCACTGTGATGAACACGTAATCCATGACTGTATGATGCTGTGTCCAGCATCAACCATGTGCAAGAAATTGTAATATAACCATCTCTCCCTTCCTCTCATTCCCTTCCTGTTTTTGATTGCACACGTTTACTACTTGAATGCACTTGCTTTGTTATTCTCATTTTTATTGCTCTTTATTTTTATTCTATTACTTTCTGTTCCTGTTGCCAGCACATTGAGAGCCTCTGTTTCACTCATATTCCTGAATGTTCAAACATGGCAAATAAAGAATATTCTCATTCTGAAATAAGAAAGCACAAATGAGGTGTGAGTCACTATCAATAGTGAAAGAGATGTATGAATGCATGCACAGTTATAAGGTGCATTTTGTGGGTGCAAAACAAAAGCAGAAGGTTAACTCAAACCAAATAAAACATGGTGCATGGTGTTGAAACATTTATCCTGAGCCAGGGGCAGGCATGGTTTTTCTAGGCCTGAGAGCAGTGGCCAGGTGCACCCAGTACCTCAATCAGCCATCTCTAGGCTGCTACCTGCACATGCACACACCACCAAACAAGGCACCAGGGCTGTCACAATAGTGCCAGTTCACAACAGTTGTCTCAGAACACTTTTACATAATTGGGTTTAGGCCTTAAACTATTTTAAGGAAAACCCAAGAAACCCCCCTTGAGCAAGCACTTGGCAACGGACGAATGGAAGAAACCTTTGACAGACCCCGGCTCTTGGCTCAAGTTGTTTTGCCAAATTGCTTATAATTTTTGTCTGCTTAATTTTTTTCCCCTTTTCTATTTCAGTTTCAGATGTATTAACCTTAAATTGTTTGAACTCGGGAGTTTTATTAAGTTTTGATCAGGAGCTAATCATTTATGCCACCATCTTGGGCTAAATCCTCCGGAAGTATAGAGGCATGGACTTTGAAAGTTGTGTGTTTACCAAGCAGAGGACAACAAAACAAGATCTTATCAAGTTGCATTATAGAAATTGTTTGAACAATCAGTTTTGGTACTTCTCCCCTACTAAAAGACTACAAGTTGGTTTCAGTCTCTGCTGCTTTGATTGTGACAATATTTTTTATCTTGGAAAAAAATAAAAATAAATTCGTACTTATTTGTGTATTCCCCCACAATGGAAGTGCAATTCTAAGTCTTTACTAAATTGAAACATTTTTGTCCCAAATGCTTTTCAAAAGGATTAGAATATTTGGTTGGTAATTCTGATTTTTAGATTCAGTGATAGCTGTCAAAAAAAAGCAAGTTATTTTTTCAACCCTTCTAAAAATGGTAAAGACCATTATAAATAGTTTCATTTTTAACACCTATCACCCCTACACCACTTAACTCATAACGTGACCATGACAAGTGTTGAAGCTGTCTCCCAGATAATGGCACTGCCGCCCTGTGCATTTGTAACCACATATGTGTCTGTATTTCTGAATAGGCATAAGTGACTGGCAGTGGAACCACTCAGGGCCACGAAAAGGTAATCCAGTAGCTAGTAGCAGAAACCCCTTAACACTCAACTGTAACATTTGCAAAACAGAAGTGGCCAGTTTGTCTTCATGTTGTACCATGTCACACAAGTGTAGAAGCATTTCTGTTTTCAGACAGTTAGTGTAGTTAAGGCTCTTTCTTTGATGATATAGTTTTGCTAATGTTAGGTTAAATTTCATGAAGCAGGATCAGTAGATCATTAAATTAACCACAAACTGAACACTTAGGCTACTTGCACACTACCTTTCTGTCGTTGCTTTAATCAGATTGATAAATCAATTACTTCAACCACTCACTCTTCAGAACTACAAATTATAATAGTAAACATGTTTGAAATTAGATCAGCGATGACCCAGTGGTGAGCTGACCATCTCACAGCATGGGTGAGACAAGTTGAAAGTGATCCTGTGGCCCTGAACTCATCTGAGATGGTCAAATTGGTGGTACTGCAGTGTAGTGTGCATTGAGCCTTAGGCATACACGGAGCTTAAGATGTCCTTGATAATGAGTTGTTGTTTAAAATAAATTTTTTATTAAACCACATAGACAATTAGCTGGTTAATCTATTGATCCTGCTTTTTGAATTTACCCCTCAGGTGAGTTGACGGTAGGAGAGATTTTAAATAACTCCTTCCAAGTCCTAATTGACAACTCTCACAAAGGTAGGTTTTTTCAACAATATTACCATAGTTGACATGTGTTAATGATTTATTGACATTTCAGTGACCCAGCTAAACAGCCAAGGAACTGAGATGGCTGTTGGCTTTCCTTGTTTTGAAAGGGTGGTATATTTCGCCGAGGGTGACCAGCCCTAAATGTATTCTCTCTCTCTCTTTCTTTGTTTTTTAAAAAACACAGATGGCAATAGTGTGCACAACAACGCAGCCACTACGACACCAGTCACCAACTCAGCAGCAATCACCTCAGCTGTGAACCGTGGTGGCAATGCTAGCAATCCCATCACCATCGCTGCTCAGATGAACATTGCCACCAGCACGGTCAACATTACGTCACCAGTCAACCTGCAGCACCCTGTCACCATCACTGGTCCTGTGAACCTGGCCTCTGTCAACATCCCTACAACAGCACACATGAATATTGCTCACCCAGTGGCGATCACCACTCCCATGTCCATGAATATCACTGGGCCACTCAACATTGCCATGAGGCCAATGGAGAGCATGCCTTTTCTATCTCAAGTTCTGCCTTCATCCCCTCCTTGGTAGAGCTTTGTTAGCACATGTAACAGCAGATAATGTTTTAACCACCTGCTAATTGGTGAGCTTGTCCTCTCTTAATAAACAGCCCTGTATATGGGTTAATAGTGTATTAAGCTTGAAAAGGTGATAACTAATGTAATGCAACCACCTCTAGTAACCAAATGATTATTACTTTCAGGAGTCATTATTACAGCATAATTTGTCAATTGTGTATGTTATTTGTAATTATAGAAGATCAAACTCCAGATCCCCTTAAACATTGAGAGAAAATGATTCATTTTCTTAGTTCCACATTCCAGGGTATTATTAGCCTACATAGCATGTGAGATACAGGATGCTGACCTGCACAGAAGTGTGTCAGATGAAGGGTCACTTGTGGTGATGGCCAGTATGGATAAACTCTTCTATCATGCTATATGGGATTTTTAAAAATTATTCTAGGTGTAATGCAGAAAATTTCTAGAACTATAATAGAGAAACATTTCTTAATACCAGATGAGAATTTCTGTTTTTGGCTAACCTAAAGAATTCATTACCAGCCAAATCAAGGTACTTCATGACATTAATAATAACAAAACAAAACAAAAAAAGAAAAACTGGTAAATCCAGTAATACCATAAAGCAATTCTGCTCATAGATTTACAGAATTGCCCACATGCCTGTTGTGCCAAAAGAGCAGAGTGCCTCAGTATAAATAGTATGGCAAGTATCAGATAATGGATCACTGTTTTGAAGTATACATCCTCATATTGCTTGGCTTTAGTTCGTGGTGTTGCTTACTCCCACGTTGCTCATCGGTTGTGTTGGTGCCAGCTGTTGTCTCCTGTTGAGGGGGTTTTGTCAAACCTAATAGTTGGGTTTCTGAAGCCCACTTTAGTGTCAACTATGAACAGATAACTGGTTGGACAAAAAACTTAACTGAACGTCACTATCTGTAGCTAACAGCAGTGTTTCTTCAGCAGTTGAGGGTTGCTCTGTTGTTAGAGAGCTGTATGTGATCTAGTATGGAACTTCTCCATCTGCCAGTCCAGGCCAAGATATTCTAGTTGAAAGTTCTGAAGAAGCTATAATGTGATCCTCATGTTTAGATTGTTTTTGTCTGTTGAAAAGACCTCTGGAGCTCAGGCTCAAATTAGTTTCTCCCAGAATACCAGAATTACCTAAACGATGTTGCAGAGCATTTTAGATCATGTCGAACGTGATGTGACCCCTTGAGATACAGATGATCTGTGTAATGACTATTTTATGCCAAAACCTTTTTAATCAGCATGTAGACCATCAAGGGACACTCATATATTTTCTCTTGAAATCCAGAGGAATTAAATTAGCAAAGCACCCACCCATCAGCTCTGCTTTACTCTACCACCACTAATACTGTGAAATGGGAGGCCATGTGCTTGACTAGCCAGTAGGTACTGGTGTTTACCCAGTTACGTTGAAATGTTGCATCTTGCCCAATACCCGTTATATTATTGGTCATATTCTTACTTTTGCATCATTTTAATATGTGATAACATGCCTTACCAGCAATAATCACACAAATAGGTTTCATTACACATTCAAACCCAGAGTATTTTATTCCACTTGGACAGGGTTTAATGTTATTGGGCATTTACTGCAGTTATTACATTATCAGCTGCTACATGTTCACCCATATTTAGTTTGTATTTATCCCTGCTTCCCTTTTCAGACTTGACTTGTTTCACTACAACACAAATTCTTTCATTTTTCTTTAGCCACTGAAGGAAAGTGAAAATGAAACTGGGTATCTGACTTCAAATGTGGGCGATGCATAATACCTTACTATTCCTTAGGAATTGTTTAACAACTTCTTAAATGGAAGTGTATTGCTGGAGCAGTTCACAAATGCTTCCTCCTCATAAGGCAGTTTTTTTCTGTTCTTTTTTTCTATTGCTATCTTAGTGAACTTATCAGTATTTAATAGTTTATACATTTTAAAGTACAAATAACAAAAAGCTTTCATTCTTGGGGTAGGGTGAGTGATACTGTGGATTTCACTGATGACTCAGTGGCTGTTCAGACCTATGTTTTTACTTTAACATAGCTGGAAACTAGTCACTCATCATTGCTGGATACTCTACACAAGTTTATCTGTGACATCTATTTGGAAATGTTTGTATGTATGTATATCAGGACATGACAGTTAAAGGTACAGCAAAGAGAAAACTTATTGTACTGAAACCATGTCTCCTAGGTCTTGCCCTTAAAATGGCAGTATTATCAAAGGTCAAATAATTAACATTTTTGATTACAGGGGACTGTTTTTTTATTGTAGAGGTCAAGAGAGCTGCACAGTGGCTCTTTAGACTCTGTGCTACAAAGGCAGTCGCAGAGTTACTTTAGTAGGTAAGATCCCATCACTGTCAGTCAAACTCAGGAAAGTTACTGAGAATAGTCTTTTATAACCATGCTCAGCAATTTACACACTGATCATTTCTTTGTAAATATGAAACACTATTTTATTGCCTTTTACGTGTGGGGAAAGTGAAGCCCTCTGCTTCCCACTGGTTAGCAATGCAAGAACTACACACCACTGATGTCGCTGCCCATCCTGGAGAGGACAGAGAAGTGAGCAGACTAATAAAAGGATAAGTCTGGTGTCAGGTTTTTAAATTGGCAAATCCTAATAAAAACCAAACATCAACAATCCTACTAACAAGTATTTTCTGTTTAGGTACAACTTCAATGCCAAAGAACTCCACTGTTACCTAAAAACACATTCCTTTCAAATTTTCAAATGAGCAAAGCACAGAGCCCAAAGCAAGCAGCTAATCTGCTCCACATGGTGTTACTCTTCAGAGACTGAATGAAGCCAGATAACTGTTTTTGAAGAAAGACTGCTCATTTATTCTCAGTGAATGTCAGAAGTCTGTTTCTTGTTTGTGTTTTTACCAGTCTTGGGGACATGGAGTTCTGTGGTACAGTGCTAGCAACATCAGGCTTCAGCTACACAGATCAGACCTGTCAGCAGGATGCACTCACTGGTTGTAGTTGCTCCAGGCAATTGATCTGTATTTATAAATAACCACAGCATTGTCCTTGCATTTCTCTGTAGCTCTCCCTTGCATAGCTTTGAGTGTTGTTTTTAATTGCTTTATTGATATTTTTGTCCTGGCATTTTCTCTTTACTGGAAAATTGTGGCTGTGATCACAAAAGAGGCTTTGCTCTCAGTGATCATGCACGTATAAGAGCAAGATGGCAGAGTGTGGGTGTAGTATTAATCACATTCTAGGGAAAGCCAAGGATTGATAACTTGGTGAATATGGGACCTTGCCACTACACGTTTCAGCCCCTCCCCTCTGCCTATGTGGGTGTTAGCTTTCATGTTGCTGTGTAATTTGCATACATGTTTTCTGTGTGAAGTCATTACTGTGAACAGCCACTCCTTGCAACTGAAAGCTGTCTGAGTTGGTGAATGCTGGCTCTAGATCAAGGACACAATGTATAATGAATCCTGGTTTCGGTTCTGTCCCATAATGGTGTTGCCAAAATATAAATATGGATTCAATGTGCCATGGTACCCCACTGACAAATGGGGTTCTGCCAGTGTGGACCTTGACTCTGTAGCAGATGATGGTCTTCCTGACTTCAGCCTACAGCCTGTCCGTAGCTCCAAATGCTCACTCTCGGACTGTCCCTCCTTGAAGAAGATTTCATGGTGTCACACTTGGTTGTTTATCTGAAAAGTGCTAGAAATAGTTGTGAAGAATTAATGAAGAGAAGTTCAAACCCTTTCACAGTTCTACGCTACTGGCCGTTCACTGTGTAAAGCAGGTTTGATCATCTGTTTTGGAAAGTTGCACAAATTGTCAGATGCAGCCCCCCAAACGTCAGAAAGGCGCTTTCAGATGCTGTTGTGCAATATGAGCACTTCCTTTGATGCACACCAAGGCTTTAATTGTAAGCCTGTAATGACAAAGTGGGATAATGTTTTAAAATGCATTTAAACATGTTCTTGTAATGGAAGAGAGGGAGAAAAGCTGCAGCAACGCAAGTCATATCTTCCAACAGCTCTGCCTAAGGTTCCATGTGAGGGCTTGATGTGGCTGAAGTTGACACTTGCTGAATTTGCACACATTGAGAATGGCTTCACAGAACACACTAGGAGCAGAACTCCACCTGAAAATGTTGGTCACAGGCAAGCCCATGGACAGAGACTGAACAAGTAACAAACAGCCTCTTTTGTGAATTCAGCCGCAACAGTTCCCGCACCAGGCTTGCACACTGTGCCACAGTTCGCTGGCTGTGTGCATCTTGGGAAACACAAGTGAATTAGTTTGTAGGCGTGAAGCCTATTTGTAATTAAGGGCCTTTTGTCAGTGCAGGAACTCTGAAGCACTTCAACAGACTACACTGTGCACACTACAGACAGGGGTACTTAGAGGGGCGTTTGCCTTTGATGGACGGAGACAGTGATTAGTGTTTGTTTTACAGTTCACCTGGCCCCACATCAACATTTTTGTAGCCCAGGTGTGAGGCCTGTTAATTTTGTTGTTTGCATGCCAGCTCTGCCCACCCAGGGAAATGCTCTGATGTGGAATGGCATTATGATCTTGGCAGTTAATTTGTTTCCCATCTTCATTTTTTTCCCTTCCTCCAGTGTTGCATGTGGATGACTGAGCTTGCCCAGTGTAGGTTTGAGTTAAACAGCCGTTATTAGAGGGTAGTGACTTTTTATGAAAACACTAAAAAAAAAAAAAAAAGGTTGAAAGGAAGTGTGTAGTGTCATTTGTCCTTTTCTAGTGGCCGTAAACAAGTGTGCCTGAAATGCTTCACAAGACTTTTCCCACACATTTGATGCTTCCTCCTCTAGTTGTGCTGTGTGATGGAATAGTTTTGTGAAGGATGCCTTCATCAGTTCAGAGCCCAAGGGCCCCATGTCTGGCAACCAAACTGTTGCAATTAGCTTTTTTTCCCCTGTTTGTTTGTTATTAACCTAATGATCTGTTCTTTAGGAACAGCTTTGAAACATCAGTTGAGTTCTCTACTTTAGTCAAGCTCATTACATGACATTTAACCATGTGGTTTAATTTTTAATTTGACTCCAACCTAATGTGAAAGACAAACCGTGTATTTGGCCAAATA